TTGGCTTACTTTAACTTTATGGATAGAATGTCGGTTTTTGATAGATCTCTAATTTCTCAATCTCATTTTAGTTTGTCTCTTTCCCCTTTCTTCTAACTTTCCACCGCGGTTGTCGAATTTGAAGACTAACAAATGACAAGCGCCTCATCACACCCACTCACCCGCTCCCACACGCACAAGCTTTTTTGTCTCAAGCCTACTTTGCTTATCCAAGCGCGCGAAGCGGTCAATCATCATTGCCTCTTTTGCGCCTTTTTTCTGCTCTTGCTTCTGTTTTTTTTTTTTTCGTTTTGCTTTTCCATCCTGTTTTGCAGCGTGCGTGTTTTATCGTCCCACCTCCTCACCCATTTGAGGATTAGTGTTTGGTTGATTTGACCATGCTACTTCTAAGTTTATTAAAGCCAATGCATTGATCTCTTCGCACTTTAAATCTCTTCTGCCTGTCCATCCTTTCAACGTCATTTTTGACAGCATACACCAACCCCCCTCGTCGTAATCCAAACTCTGCGTTGATTCATTTGCCAAGAGTGTGTGCCCGGAACACCTAACAGCGCCAACTATTAATGCCCACAAGTGCTTTCCTTTTTTGAATCAAGAAGCGGAGAGCTGTTGGCTCCAACAAAAAGTGTACTCGTGTTTATTGCCCACATTATGCTGCTGCTCTGTGGACATGGATTTTATTATTTGAATAACATACCGAGGGGTCAGTTAAGGCCGTCTTAAAGCTATCTTGCAAGATGTGAACCGAATGGACTTATGTGGCTTTAATGTTCATTCCAATCGGACAGTTGCCAAGCCGAGACTAGCGGAATCTACCATTAGTTATTGAACTTGCCAATAGCGTTTGGCCTAGGTAAGAGGTTATTTCAGTTATTTGCAAACTTCTTTGGCGCTCGTTTAATGAATAAGCACAAGATACCAGGTCATTCTTGGGTCACCAACGTTTTCTTTCCATCTTCAAGACGCTTTTCCATGTGAAGCACTCGTGAAACCACCGTTTAATTTCTTTGGTATGAACTAGCTCATTAGTGGATGTGATTTTCATAAACCTCATTCAGGTGAGATGGGTCTGTAGTCCTTGCTTCCAATGGGTCATAGCAATCGTCGGCACGTTTTATCTATTGGTAGATATCATTCTTGTGTATTCAAATGGCTCCTGATTCGGCGATTAGAGGTAAGTGGATTTTTTGGATTTTATGGCACCGTGAACCCCCCATTCTTATTCCTAGTTGACTAAAACGGTAATGGGAAGTCTCATCAATTATTCTGGAAAGATAAAAACTTCAGCCACCGTCGTGGGTACAGCCTAGATAAAGCCTTTTTTTATTTCATTCGACCAAGTGGAATTCATTAGGATGCTACTAAATCCCTTTGTTTTTTAAAATTGATTTTAAAAGCCATAAATCGAAACAGATCAAAATAAACCCCAGTGACATGTTGAAGTATTCAACATATCCGGACACAAATAGAATGCTGTGGAATATCAGGCTTGAGACTAGATCCTGGAATTTATATTGGATCACTCCCCTTTTGTAGCAGCTTGCTACTTTTGCGCTTTTTACAACGAAAAATACCAACTTATGATTAATTTGCAATGGATAAAAAGTACTAAATATACATTAAAGCTTTACTGTATCAAAGCAGTGTGCGTTACTTCATCAAACAAGCGTAGATACCACTGAAGGTGTGAATTTGTTTCACTGGGGCTTTACTTCACCAAACAGCGGCACTTCCGAACACAGCCATTTCAGGCCCTGATGCAACCACTGTCACATGTCTTTGAACACAACATCTCCGTATATGTGTGCAGGGCGGCAAGTTTGCCGCAGAATTCAGATGGGGTCTCTATCACGCAAACATAGGTCCGTGACTAAGCCATAGTCACTTTGTTTACACCGCGTTTTAGTCGCATTACTCTTGCACACATACATGCACTCACTTTTACGCCGATTGACATTGTTGTCGCATGAAATTTTGGATTACACATTTAGAAGACGCCCTTTAAGCGTACTACATGGAAACCTCCGTTCACGTTCAAGGGGCTAACACCTCTCTTCACCGAGAAGGGTAATCTCGAAGAAGGCGCAGATGGGTGGTAGTTTAGACCACCTCAATGGTACCATTGTACCATGGGTATCAATAGGACTGTCATTGATCCGAGTGGAAGAAAACTAGGAAGTGCACAAATTAATTACGTTTTCAAGGCCATAAATGGTATCCATGAGATGCCACTTTTATGCTGGCATACGGGGCAACGTTCCTTGACTAAATCGACGTGATTACTTTTCGGAGGTTACATTACGCTACTGAATATTTACGACTTTTTCCGAAAGTAATAGGTGTATAGTATACTTGTGTGGGGAGAGTTCAGAGGGATATCGTTGAAGCCCTAAGGCCATTTTTAGACACGTATGTTACACCTCCAGGCGATACCACCATATTCTTCCTCTTTCTTTTAGGTAGGAACTCTGACTTCGGTGGCTCCGTTCAGCTGGTAGGTTTTGGTTTTATAACGTACATGGACTGAACCTCAATTGAGTTAACTGTCAACCTTTGTCAACTTTTCTCATTCTCCTTTCCTTCTATCATTGCGTGCATGTTTTATTTATTTTAAGTGGTATGCTTCGTCCCTTTATTCACATCATTTTCCTCTGTCATCTGCTTATGCACAAGTTTTTTCAAGAGTCCTGGAATTTTCAGATATACAGGCCAACGATTCATGAGAAAAATTCATACATAACGGTTACCAAGGTGCTAACATATAGTAAAGTGGATGCAATTATCAAAGTGCATTGCATAGCATCTCGCACATCTTGGCAATCTCTAAGACATTTCTTAGTGGGAAGTGAAGTTCCCGCATTTCAATTGATAAACAGAAAGTCACAAGAATACGGGGAGTTCTCTCTATGGGGAATATTACTGAGCCCAAAAATTAATGAAAACAACTTAATTCTGCTGCATGCTTTTCCTTTTTTCATTAAAATGGTGTATAAGTAAGAGTAAATATTATCCTCACTAGGGTGTGAAATGCAAGGAATTTTTGTTTTATAAGAGTTGAAGCAAATGCTGCTTCAATAACTAGGGCTTTCTCCAGTCTCTACACCGTTTGCTTTATCCATTCTGGCTTATTGTATGCACAAAAAGGCAATAAGGAAAACAAGTCTACGAGTATCTTTATCAGGGATGTACAAAATTGCTGGAAGGCTAGGGACGTAAATGACGGCTAGAGCGCTCGATGAGACTGAAAGAGTTCTACTTAGTATCGCCATATAATCAAAACAGCGATAGCAATATACTGATGGCGAGGAATCTTATCAAGGCGAATCGGGCAGCGCTTCTGTGCGTACTTGGTTTGGCGGTTAGCTGCGTTGCTTTCAGTGCCATTGGCAGTCCACTTGACCTCCATTTTGTGGGTTACCCTCAAGGCAATTAAATTTTATGACATCTCTTTCATGAATGCGCCCTGCCTCTATCTCTATGAGTCTTTTTCGCCCTTGGGCTCCGTGAATTTCATCTGTCACCCGAAATTCACTCCTATTTAATTCCTTGAGAGTTCCATTTGGAATTTGGAGTGGTGAGCAAGATCTTATTTTTAGTTTGGGGAATGGGAGAGTAATATGCAGCATGACTGCATTTTACAGGACTTCAAGGGTCCTGTAAGACTGTTGTTGTGACTAGAAGGCATCCAAAATGGTTTTTAAAATTGGGACATTGATTTTATTAAAATGCCATATTTTTTTGATAGTTCTGTCAATTCAAAGGAATTTGCAACCGGAAATGGGTAATGTTATACTAACCTGGAATAAACGATGACACTCACTATTTAAATTTTTCCTGCCTCTGACACTTAAACTAGCAAGTGCGTTTTGATTAGTCGGAGAGTGTTGTTTCTTTTTTGTGCCAATACTTGTGAGTTGCGCTTGGGCTCTAGATGTCTGTGGTGCTCTCTCAAACTCTGTGCTCCTTTTGGTGGAGGTATCTCGAATGTTTCTGCACGCTTGCCGTAGTAAATAATTAAAACGGCTACTATTTGTGATACAACAGAATTAGCTTTTCTCTCAAAATCGGTAACTCCATATTTTATGCCCTGTTAGCGAATGTCACTGCGCGAGATGATGTGGGTCAAAGAGGCGCATCCTGGCGTCCCTGCATGCTCCTCCAAAAATTTAAGTTTCAAAGGTCATGCCATTACCACGCTTGTGAGAAACTTCACCATAAAGTCATTTTTCATTGTCGACGTACATTCGTACCACTTTTTATCTCATCCCCCATTAACTGCAAATTATTTTAGACATGTAAACGCTTCAGGTGCTCTCATCGCATTTGTTTTTACGACTGGAGGACCTCCTTCCCTTCTCTAGTAGCATGCGTTCCCTCACTTTGCCACTCTGCCCTTTTTAGAGTGTAAATTTTACCCATTGGGTAGCAAGTGAACATTTTGTGTATGCTTGGTGGAAGAAAAAGGGACGGGAATTTATGGTAATTTTTTGTCAGGGTAAAGCGTGGTGCACTTGTTTACCCAAAGCAAAACTGAGGTGCCCAGTCTCTATTTTCCAGATAAAGGTAGATGGGCGGAAATTCTCACCAAACAAATGTTTAATTATCTGTTTATTTCCGCGATCTCTAGTGCTTTAGACAATCCCTTTCGTCGTGGGAAGTTGAAAGATGCTGAAATGAGCCCTTATCTATCGCCATAGTTAATAGGTGCCATCATCTTTAAAGTTAAAGTAATTTACTAAGCTAGGGGTATGTGGAAACTGTTTTGTTAGTTTGAGAAAGGGAGGGTTCTACTAGATTATTAATGCATTTTGACTCCCTTTAGTTTTGGGCAATTGTTTGGCTAGTCATTACAGGCGAGGTGTTGCTGAAATCGTACCCACCTACACATGTCAGTGGGAACAAATGGTTGAACTTATTATGCCTTTTGTATTCTCACTTGCATGCTCTCACTACATTGTGTATGA